ATCTCTTTTTTTTTTTAGTCTGTGTTCAAATCGTTCACGCGAAAACAGAGGTGGGTGTTTTCCCCTATGCACATCTTGATCTAGATCTCACAACAGAGACCGTGTTCATAATCATTATTGGCTGGCTCTAGCCAGCAGGTGCTATAAATAATGTTGTTCACAGTGTCATTCCGTTTTCTACATAATATGAGTCAGCAAAACGCTGAGCAGGGATATCGTAAAATTTGAGTAATTAATTATTCCAGACGGGGTCTTGTTGCTGCCATGTTGTCAGCCTCTCGCTAACAAACTAACAAGCCCAAATGTGACGTCTCTGCTCCAGACCATTGCATAGACTGAGCACCCCACCCCCAACCCCCGCGCACACACACACACACTTTTTTCTTGCCATATAGCAACAAAAGCCCAGGAGATTCGTAGCCAGAACCAAGGCGTTGTAGTTTGGCTCATCCTTTATTGGACTGTCGTGGCTCAAGAATGAGATTTTGTACGCCTACTGTAAATCAGCTAAAATACAAAACTCGTTCATTAACAAAAACAAAAAAGAAAAAAAAGTTTTTGCAGGCAGTTAAAGACTAATCAAACTTTGTTTAAATGAAATGTCACGATGTGCAAAGCACTGGTGCATTCTGTCAAAAGTTATGAGCAGAATAGAAAAATAAAATCGTTCAATTTTATATGAACAGCCTATGAATAAAACATACTTTTGCAAGCTCGCACTAGCTTTTTTTCCCTTAGCGTTAAACGTTCTTTGCATTTTTGACCTTATACGGAGACGCCCCTTTTCCGTATTGGTTCATTTCCCTGTGGGGAGTAGTGCTGGGCGGCTCGGTTCCCGATTATTGAAAGTTAGGAATCGTAGGAATCGACTCCGAACCCAACTACTTACTTGCTAATGATGTGATTTCTTCGGGTGGTTATTTGGTTGGCTCCGAACATCTTCAGGATTTAGGATAACCTTGATTTCAGAACACTACGAAGCATCAGCTTTTTTTTTTTTTTCAAAAATAAATTCTCTTAAAAAAAAGATTTTAATGTAAAGTAACCGGTAGCCGCTCGTTTATATAAAAAGGAGTCGGAACTTTTTGTCCGCAGCATTAATCGTGGGAATCGGTTCCGAAATCGATTCTTCGCCCAGCTACACGCACCTGCTGTATCTCAGCACTCACCATCAGTAAAGCCATACACATTATTCGACTTGACTAATTAACATTCACGATGTTTATCAGCCTATTCCTGACTATTCGAAGCGTGTCCGTTTAGTGTCACAGCCATTCGAATGCTGTGTGATTATCATTTATCTCTTATTTTAAAAAAAATCATTAAAAAAAATTCAGGTTGTTTAAAAGAAAAAAAAAAGAATATGAGTTTTCGTTCCATTAATCTTAAACTGTTGTAAAAATAAAGCATAATATCACACCTAAAATCATTGAAGTGAATACAATAATACTTGATATTGGAGAGCTACGAGACAGTGATAAATGGTATTCCTTTCTATTCAATAGTCAGCCCGTGAACAAATTAATGTTATTTGACTTTCGAAGCACAGCGAAAGTTTTTCCGTGCAAATTATGAGAAAGCTGTCGCGATGAGCTCCATCTCCCCTATTGGAAATTAAAAGCGTTAAAATAAAACATGAAGGGCGTCACCGTATTGCACTGGGTGCGAGCCCGAACGGCCTACGCGCACTTTTAGTTTTAGTAAGTGTTTTAACGGCACTTGTATGTATGTATAGTATAAGGTTTTACGGCGCTCGCAACTGCTAAGGTCATATGAGCGCGCGAAACACAAGTTGTTCACCTCTGCGAAAGTTCACCTCACGACTGGCTAACTAATTTACTTTAAAATGCTAAAAAGTTAAAATATTCAAATTCGGTGTAAATACATTTGTGATCTAAAACAACGTTTAAGTAACAATAACGGCACTTGCAATACAATAAGGTCATAGAAGTGCCGAAGAGTAGAGGTGTTACAAAAGAGTAACAAACACAAAAAAGAAGGAGGGGGAGATCAGGACGATAAATATTTGATAGGAAAGAAGGAGCAAACCACACCAGAGCACACGCCAACCACCCACAAGCGCACTTTTGAGAACAGCGAGGCGACCTTGACCATCAATAATTTATTGATTGAGGCACCAGCTAAACGTTCTTACACTATAATATGCGAGACAGCGTGGTGAAATCAGCCGCTCGTCAAAATAATGGAAATGAAGAAACTGTTATTTTTCCGCAAGGTTTTGGAATTTTTTTGTTGAGTATTTGTTCTTTGGCTCAACACCTTCAAGCTCCATTAAAGAACACATTTCTGTATGGAATTTATTGAGAATAAAAAAATGATTAAAGGCACAAAAAATGTAAATTGTCAGTTTCCACTGAGTCTCACGCAAAGGAAATAACTAAACGTTGGCTGCCATTTTCTTTGCACATTTTAACATCTGAAACCAGGTGACCCCCCACCTCCCTCGAGGCCTCAATTGCCAATAGCTCTACTTGTATCCTAGATAAATAGATCTTCTTTTCCTCAAAAGCAAGGTAAATGGACAGGCTTTAAGATGCTACCAATAACCCCATATGCCCATAAACTGACGAGCGCCTGATTCCACTGCGTCGTGACACATAATATGTGAGGCGTGCTGACAAAATGAGTTACTTCTCACAATCCACAAATGCAGATATTGGCCAAAAATCGACACTGGGGACACATTTTTAGGTTTTCTATTGATGCAATATTTATTAAATACTAAATGCCTTTTGTTATTTCATACTTGCAAATTGTAAAAAACTTAATCTATAAGCATGATAATGTATCTATTTTCATAGTGCTCAAATCCGAAAAGTAACTCATTTTGTCAGCACGCTTCACATATGTTCTCTGAGCGGCTAGTGCACTAGCCATCCATGTCCAGGTGCTGTTTTAGCCATCAGCGAGATGAATAGTGAATTACTTAGTGAAGGTTAAAAAGCGGACGTTATTGGACTCACTGAATATAAGTGAAAAAACAAAGCAGGACAAAACAAAACAAAAAACAAGAACAAACCA